CAAGGTCATGGGCCGCTGCAGCAGTGGACCACTGCAAGCTGTCCAGCTAATGCGGATACCGATCGTGGCCAATACTCATTTGTAATCTTGGACAGGTTTTAATACGTGGTACCAAAAAGAAGCAACCAAATGGTAACATGCTAGAACTCGGGTGGTGGCTAGCTCAAAAATATATATATGTATATATATACACACAACCGACAAACGCATTGTAGGGATGCCTTATAGCCTATAAGTTATAGGCCATCGATACCTAAAATACGTGTACACGTATCACTATTTTCACTGTCCGAAGCTGATTGACACGTCCTGATGCGCGTCCGACTACCATTGGCTCGAAAGTTCCATCGGCGGTATTTTCATCAGATCCCCGAACAGAAAGCAGGATTTGCTGTCTGTATTCGAGTAGTCGTACATAACATCGTGATGATCCCATCTCAGGCCTTGGCTCTGGACGGGATCGCAGCAAAGTCCCGCGCAGACGAGAAACTTTTAGTAGGTCGACGCAACAGAAGCTGAGCAACGCGAGTGCATAGGAAGATCTTGATTGCCAGGTATACGGCCTCCCTTGTCATTAGAAATGAACGCGACGGGGAGATTAGATACGAACACTGCGAGACATACCTCTCAATGACTCAGTCTTGAATCGACCACAACTGCAATCTACCTCTTCTAGGTACTCAAGACCACCATGGTGACATGGATGAAGCTCCTGCTGTCGCTCTCCGGTTTCGTCGCTGTACTACAACCCACCGCTTCTTCAGAGTCTACGCTGCTCCCCACTGCTGGATCCGGAGTTCTTGTCAATGCAATTGACAAGGTAAAGTCGACTTACAGAAACTGGGTTGGTCCTACCATCGGTCAGCCAGATCGTGGAGATTGGGCTTGCTACCGCAGAGCTCACATCATGGACAAATGTCCAGTTGGTTTCAGCTACAAGTGGAAAATGTGTTGGACGCAGTGTCCACTCCAGTATCCTGTCCAGTGTGGTATGGAATGTATTCGTCAGAACGACGACTGCGGCATCGAAGTCTATGCGAAAACCGTTAATGTAGTGCAGACAGCGATCTCTCTGGCGACAATGGGATTGTTTGGGCAACTCACTACAGTCGCTAAGGGCATAGTTGACGGCGCCAAGTGCCTCCGAGCCATGATCGGCAACATTAAGATGCTCAATAGCTACATTCGCGGGCTTAAAGTGTACGACCCGCAGATCCCCTTTGACAAAGTCATGGCTTTGTTGTATCACACAAGTTACTTTACCATCGACTTCCCTGTCGCTATCGCCATGTGTCTGGGTCACTCGTATCCAGAAGCTCTCGACCCTGCAAGCTGGATGGTAGATACTATGCAGCTGATGCTCGGAGAAATCCTCGATCATGGAGATAGTATCATCCGAGGCTGGGACCGCTTCAAGGCTTTCCTACACCGTGTTAACTTCACGCAGCCATTATCGGAACTAAACGAGACTGACATCTCGTCTCTTAGGACTGGGTTGGACTCCAACTCAACGTGTGGACATGAGCTCAAGCGACTGACAGACAGGACGTGGATGACTGTGGCTCAAATGAAGAGAAAGAATCCTGGGATTACGCAGGATGAACTTCGTATTGCAATGTACGAGTCGGACCTCATGCTTCGAGATATCCCGATAGTCACTAACAACTGTATGGAGCAAATGATCTCCGAGTCCTCGGAAGATACAGCATACCAGACCCGAGATACGCTACGCAAAACACTAGGAGTAATCGTGGATGACCTTATTAACAAAGGCAGGAGCGACAACGGCACGTCGTTGACAGCGAAAGAGTATACACGTGTCGTAGCGGATAAACTGGCGATGACGATCTTCGTGGTCTCTCTCTTCGACGAGACCGGCATCGTCGGCATAGTCACTGAGTATATCCAACCCATTTGTGGGCCTACTCAGTTTATCGGAGAGATTGACGATGGCGACGATCCTTACACACTTGGACTCAATATGGTGAGGAATGCTTTCCAGGGCAGCAAGTTGTCTTGGAGGAGAAAAGGCGACGGGGTTGTGACTATTATGTTTGAGAGCATAGACACAAAGCCTGTCACGGTGAATATTTACTCCGGAGGCCGCAAGATCGATGAGAAGGATGTCCCAGCAGGAGGGAATGCAACTTGGAAGTCGAATGTGACGACTTTAGGCGGTAAGTCACTCTATCTTGATCGGTAGCGGCCAGGTTTTCTAGGACTCCCTGGCACAGGTGGTGGGTCGTTGAAGCTTTGGGTACCACGAGCGTATGAAGGAGGCCATTTGGATCTTTCCGTGAAAATCAACGTTAGTTAGTGAATTGAATACAGCGATGAAGAACTTATACGTTTGTAACGCCAATTTTGACTGACTTGAACGAAGGTCCTCACATTTAATATTAATCAATCTTAGTAATTCACTAATATGCTCCAGTATACTGTTTTTGAGGGGTGGCACTAGCCACCACCGGAGTTCTAGCATTTTTACCATTTGGTTGCTTCTTTTTGGTACCACGTATTAAAACCCGTATAAGATTACAAATGAGTATTGGCCACGATCGGTATCCGCATTAGCTGGACA